TAGGGTAATTGTTTATTTGTGTATATAAACTATTTTAGGAGGTAAATGCAGAATGTGCAAATTGCTGTTATCGCTGTTCAATGCAAATTCTGTTGATAATCTAATGATAAGCTTTTTCGTGATTTGTTTTCATTTGCGTAACTTCTTCTTGTTCATTCGTTTACCCTTNCAAATGACACAATAAACACCAAATTTTTGTGATGTTCAAATGTTGAAAATAGAAAATGAAATAGTTTTCGTGCAGTGTGTGTCATCTTTTTGATAACATTTCATAGCAACACTCAACAAAAAGTTGTCATGTATCGATCAAAAGTACAATTTCACATGCGAATCGTAAACATTTTCCATGCATCGGCTTCAATTCAAAATATTTTTGGTCCAACTCTATAGACAATAATGGTGTATGCATGTATTCAGAATGCCTCATAGTTAATGTCTCTTATTGGCACTTATCGCCCTCGAAACACACTCGTAACGTCACGTCTGTTTACTTACTATCGCAATACACTATGCCTATACATTTGAATGTTAGAAACTAAAACCTCAACCAAATACATTTTTCATTGAAAATGAGTGTTTTCTTAATGGAACGAACATATCTGTTTCACTTGTCCCATCCAAAGAGCATATTTTAATTAACAACTTCAACGGTTTCGGCAGCAAATACTACAGCTACACAATTGCTTTCTTATAGCAAACGATGGAAATTGATTTGTCGTCCAAGAACGACTTAGATCTATGTAGATAACACTTTTGCACGGCGTTTTTCACCACCTCACCATTATGATTACAGCGTTTTGAGTTAAATGACTGCCTGTGCCTGATCGAACACCGATAAAAGAAGAAGATCTGCTAATAAATGATTAATGAAGTGAGAGAGTACTAACCGAAACGTTCGACAGTCATAATCGTCCTCAGATGGATAGAAGAATACCAAAGCGAACACGCTACCGAACGCTACTAAGACCGTAATCGTCAGATTCATACTGAAATTGTACATTCACATACTCAAACTAAAATTTCCATTTTATCAAATATTTTACCCAAAAGTATCCATTATCAAGACTGAGCGGTTGTTTACATATTCCTACAATTACTTGGATAGATATCAGATCCTCTCATAGGAAGACCAGATATCATTCACTGAATTCAGTGGTGCTTCTTTATGGAAGTGAATTTAGCCACCAGTATCACCCAGATAAAATGAACGAGGAATAGATGATTCGATTGATTCGTCAAATCATGAATATCACGTCTCATATCTAAAAATTCTCTGCATTAATCCAATATGTTCCTCTACATTTAAACAGCCATTAACAACTAGAATCAGAGTATCATTACATCCTGACTGGAGAAATATCAATAAGATGCCAAAAAAACTACCAAAACGGGAGTTGCCGTGAACGTTTTTGAGGCTTTGCACTTGCTTTTGATGCGGCGGTGGCAGTGTTAGCAGGCGATGACGACGATGATGCGGAATCTGTGGAAGCTGCTTTCCGTTTTCGGACATTGTGCTCATTTCCGGGCATTTTGTTGTACTGAAGAAACACGACTGGTTTATATTTTCACCAGTTAATTCACACGCTTCATAGATAAAAACTTCGAAGAGGATCACTCAGTTTGCTTAATGAAACCAATTCCTATAGGATTCACATCGGCAACCAAAATAAATCGAAACAATTTCGAATGGTTCACACAATATCGCTCACCATTAAACGAGACCACAATAAAATGCACATTTCCATTCGCATAAATAAATAAATAACAAAATGCAAACGCAACATTTCATAACAACACATCAGTCACTATTAATGTACATTTTGCAGCAGCAGCATCATCATCTAATTTCACATTGTATTATTTCATTGCTGTTTTCAGCAACTACTCTGTGAACAAAAGTGCCACCGACGTACATCAACGAAATGAGTTTTCTATTTTTTAAAAAATCACGCAATGAAAATTGCTTTATCAACATATCGAAGAGTACATTTTAATTACCAACTGCAACGAATTCGGCAGCGAATACTACTGCTAGACAATTGTTTTCTTATAGCAAACGATGGAAATTGATTTGTCGTCCAAGAACGACTTAAATCTATGTAGATAACACATTTGCAAGACGTTTCCACCGCCTCACCATTATGATTACAGCGTTCTGAGTTAGATAGTGACTGACTGCTGACGATTACTGCTCGTATAGCAACCAAACTTCCAACCAATCCAACTCCAAAAGATTCTCAAAAATGCGAAGTTTCAGCAATGAATATAAATAACTTAAGGAATCGCATATCATCATGATTTCATATACATATCTAATCAACGCGCGATCAATTACAAAATTTGTTTGCTGCACTCCACTATGGTAATAGTAGCAATGGGAAGGAATTGATAAACAAGAGAATTTGATGAATGACTGAAAGAATGTTCCCTCCAGCAAACATCACAATACATCTGTTGCATGAGATGCACCATGCATGATGTATCATTTTTCTCAGAGAATTGGGTCGCTCTCCACGCATTTGATCTTCACTGCTCCTAAAGCTTTCAATGAATCGATGATTTACGACCTTTTTTGAGCTGTTCGTTTGAGTCTCTCTTCTTCCAGTTTCATTCATATGGAAAAATGAGAATACACTAAACAAGTAGCAACAGACTACTTCTAATGATAGGACGACGGCAGTAAAGGAAAGAAACTGCTTGCTCGCTCTGTTGAGAAACGCGTTAACCAAGACCGTTTTGTTCCGTATTACACATTCGAACGAATGCATCGTTGAGTGAGCAGAATTGCCGATATGAAGAGAAATGAATTGAAAATGACTCTTGTTGAATATGATGACAAATTTTGCGTGTTATTCATGCAAAAAAATGGCTGTGTCCGCATACTTCAAATGTTTAAACCTTTTAATTGATCGAATCAACAGCGCAGCAATTTCTCTCTGAACGAATACAAACGAAATGCTCAAAAATTTCCAAGGCTACATGCTAGCCACTCACCCACCCATTAGCGCTGATAACCGAACGAAACGTGCGCTCAACTACGATCTGATTAGGATTGAACCAATTTTTTGAAATTCTGAAAGTCTGGATGCCACTTAGGGTCACCGAAACCCGCTAATGACTAATCATCAAAAAGCCTCTTCAAATTGTAAACTCTGTCGGAATCTTTGATTTTAGTGTTAGTGATCGAAATTCGGTCTTCTCCTATCACTGCTGCCTGCCGCAACATTTGAACAACAAAATCTCCGGATATTTAACAGCTAGAATAAAATGAATAAAATACGGGTGAAAATCTGCAGAATTGTAAACAAATTTCAAAAATTTATTATTGAATCATCATCGTCAGTCAACATGTA